TCTCCTGTCGCTTCTCGCCTCCCAGACACCCCCGACGAGCCGGAGGGCGCGACCCGCGAAGTCACAAGCCCTTCCCCAAAGTTTCTCCCTCCAGGTACCTAACTGAATCATCCATAAGATGACAAATCACCCAGAGCCAAGATTTCCAGACACTGGGGTGACTTCCTCGTCCCCGAGGTGACTTGTCAGCTCCAGTGAGTAACTTGGAACTGTCGCTCGGGGCAAGGTGTGTGTCTAGGAGAGAGCCGGCAGCTCACTCACGCTTTCCAGAGAGCGGCCTGGCCGGCTTCACAACCCACACAGGGTCATTTATCGGGACTGGAGCCCTGCGCAGGACAAAGTCTCCAAGACTGAGACATTTTCCAAACAGTGCTGACATTTTGTCGGGCCCCATAAAAATGTAAACGCCAGGTGACGAACCCGGCGGGGAGTGTTGGTGTCTGGATGTGTCTGCGCATTGGCGGCGTGGGAGGTTATAGTTATAGACCCAGCCGCTGCGGGTCGCCGGACCGGTACCCGCGACTGCTCTCGGTACCCTCCGCCCGACGGAACAATGGGGACACCGACTTGGGTGAGACACGGTGTGGAAAACACGTGGAACTTGAAAAAGCAACTACAGCCCCGTGTGCGCGCGCGAGACCTCACGTCACCCCATCAGTTCCCACTTCGCCAAAGTTTCCCTTCAGTGGGCACTCGGGGATGGTGCGCCCCATGCCCGTGCGTCCTGAAACTTGCCCCGATTTTGTAGCCCACTGGCTCCTGTAGCTAAAAGAAACAAACAAAAACTCTTCCTAATTAGCGAAACTTTAAAACCTTGCTGATTTCCGTTCCGTCAGCTACACTGGGCGCTCCTGGGCAATTGACAGGAACACTCCTAATTTCTAACTGAGTGGTGACACCTATCTCAACAAGAGCAGGTTTCTACGGGACCTGTGAATCTGGGGGGTGGGGTGCGCGTCTCCCTCAACCCCCGCGGACGCCGCCGACTCCGCGTGGAAAACTATTTCTAATCCCCCTAGTTTGCGTCTCTGAGGTGTACCTCCCCCACACTCTCCAGCGCCCGGTTTCTGCCCGTCTCTTGCCTGCGAGCAAAGTTCCTATGGCATCCACTTACCAGGTAACCGGGATTTCCACAACAAAGCCAGGCGTGCGGGTGGGTCCCTTCCCCCGGCCAGCCTGCGCGGGGTGACAGCGGGCGGCCAGCGCCGGCGAGGCGTAAGTGGGGGCTCCAGCCCTTCAGCGCACTCCACGGGCTCTGCCTCCTCCAGAAACGAAAACTCCCATCCAAGCCCGGGGACGGAGCGCGGAAACCCGGCCCAAGCGCCGTGTGTGCGCGCGCGTCTGCGAGGGCAGCGGCGCCAGGGGGAGGAGGAGGCAGAAGGCGGGTGGCTGGACCCTCGGCATCAGCTCATTCTCCCCCGCTGCACGCGTGCACCCGCAAATAATGTTTTTAAAAAGTTGAGTTGCGACTTTGTGCCTCGTCTGTTCCGCTTATCCTTGTCCTGGGCCGGGGGATGCGTCTGGGGAACGGCCCGGGGATGCTGGCTAATTGCTGCTGGCCGGATCCGTGGGGGGAGCGCGGGCGCGACCCTGGACGGCCGCGGACGGCGCACCGGGGGTGCGGGGAGGGGCGGCGGTGGCGGCACTAGGCGCCGGTGCCCGTGCGCGCCGCGCTCTGGGCTGTCCGGGCGGCGCAGTGTGGACGCGGCTGCCGGGAGAGGAGAAGGGGGAAGAGGGAGGGAGGGAGGAGGCCCGGCGAGGAGTGTGGATGTGTGTGCGGCCGCGAGGGCCGGCCTGTAGCCAGCTGCTTCCTGAGTGTGAGCGCCGGCGGGGGAGGGGGAAGAGTGGGGGCGGGTTCGCTGGTCACCAGGCTGGCCAATTCGAAGGCCGAGCTTGAGTCTCCCTCTTGATGCGTTCACACACACGTTCCCGAGCGCCAGGGAGTCAAGGAACTCCAGAACAGAGTGACAGTGGGGACACACTTCGCCTTGTCACCTGGACCTGTTAAACTGACCCTTTTTTTAACATGAAAAAGTGTCCGTATTTCGACAGGATTTGATATCCAATCATTAAAAAAAAACGCACAAGAGAAAAAAATATCTAGTAGTAAAACCCAGGGAGAAGAAATTATAATTTGAAAAATGGCGAAAAGGTTTCTCTAATATGCAGAATTAGATGCACATGAAAACTTAGAAAGTGAGTAGGTGAAGCACAAGGATGCCTTTGGTATCTTGTCAAAGTATTGGCAGAGAAGGGAGGAAGGTGATGGAAATGTTGCAAGGGCATAAAATTCTGAACACAGGCTGCTGGAAATGGAGGCACATTCCCTGCATATGGTGCATTTATATAATGGCATTTTCTCTTTAAGAAATCAACATCCTCAGCCTCATACCCTATCTAAGCTGTGACCCCTGTCTTCCCCGGAGCTCTTCTGCTTGGTTTGCTCAGAGCCCTGAAAAGGTGTCACCACAAAGCCTGCTTTTAATGGTTCCCCACTTGTATTGCCACAGATGCAATGACTTCCATCCTGGGAATCAGTGTATGAAATGGACACAGTATCCTCCGGTCAGGCCTTTCTGCAATGAAAGTATTACTCACTCTCATGAATGAGATAAATGAGGATGCCACAAGACAATTTTAGAATTCCACCAGTCCTTATATTCTCCTGCTCTCATGCAAATGTAAATTAGCATTCAGGCTGGTATGATCGAGATAGAAGCCCTCAAGAACACAAATGAATTGCCCCCAAAATGCAAACCAGATTGTTGGTCATTTTCACTTATCTCATTTCAGCAGGAATATTACTAGACTTGGTCTGTATCCAGGATGTTTACATCACCAAAAGTCAGGTTTTCACAATATTCTTTCTTGCATCTTATTATGATCCTCTTATCCTTAGGACACAAACTCATCAGAATATTAATCACCAGAATATCTGTCAGCAGAAGTGGAGGGAGGGAAATAAATTAATATGAGCTGAGGATATGTCATTCTGTCAGTTTTCCAGTTTCTCCCTCTGTTCTTCGTCTCCTTTTAAATACAAGTATCCAAGCCCAAGATGGCAATAGATGGGCCCAACCACACATAAGAAAAGAAAATACTCATAAAATGAAGCATGCAGCAACTTCACAAAAACAAAGAAACCAAGTGGTGGAAATTGCCATGACTATTCCATTGTGGCTAGTTATTGCAACATGCCTGACATTCACATAAAAACTCCTCATCATTAACTCCAGCCTTCAGGAAGAGTGCAAGATGGGAACACTGACCCTTCAGTGCATCATGGGAACTTCTGCTCATCAGACTTTTGTACTGTACAAGGACTCCCCGGGAACAGAACAAGACTTCCTGATGCAAAAAAAAAAACCTTTCCAAAGTGTCTCAAATATCATTTTAAATACAGTGGTTCTGGTGCATGAAATGGTATCCTGGAGGCTTGAAGAAGATTCCAAAACTTGATGGGAACAGTTTAGCTGGAAGAGAACAAAATATAGTGCTACACCCTACTTTAATCAATGGCTCATGGATATAAAACACTGGGAAAGTTGTGAGTCATTGACCTGGAGATCCCCAAAATCTCATTAATAGGAGCCCAAGGGTAGAAATCTCATTTTATTTAGGTGTGATTTTCTTGAACCTCTAACATTCCTAAGACATTTATCATTAAAGAGGTGTATGCTTTGGTTGATTATTTCTTTTTTTTTTTGGTGAAGAATGTAGATCTGCATGTCCTTATAGTCCATGAGAGAGAGTAAAGATGCAGTTTTTGTTGTACCAGTTACAACCCTGAGTGATTCAGATTGAGATATTATCTTTTCTGGGCTGAATTGTTCAGCAGAGGTGGGGGAGGGGGAGTAATAGGAGACAGTAGGAAAGGAAATAATGTAGTTCAGAAATGTTCCTCTCCCCACCCATGAGCTCTCCATCATGCTTAGGAATCGTGCCCTGGCAGCCTTTCAGCCAGATAGATGGGAACTGCAGCCCACTCAGTATCTTTCCTCTCTAGAGACCTATGTTGTATGTGCCTCAACTGCTGACTCAGCGCAGTTGACTCAGCAGACAGGACCCTGCTGCCAGCTCAAGTCCAGTTCTCATTCATTTGAGAAAAATTCTGTGAGTTATCTACTCTGTCCAAGGATTGGGACTAAAGGAACTAACACTTGTGGACATTGTACATGAAAGGATGTTACACAAAGCTTTTTGTCCAGTGCCTGGGTTATAGCAAACCCTCAAGAAGTGGACACTCTTTGCATATATTACCTCACAGTTCTTCAAAGCAATTGTATGAGATGGCCATGAATAATCTCCTATTTAGAAGGAAGACAAAGCTCAGTAGATAGTTAAAGAGAGTAGGACAGAATCAGTCAGGTTTGCCAGTCTAAAAACCCCAAGTTCATTCAACATTGCATTCTACAAAAGAGCTATGCATGTTCTTTGAATGTGAGCAAAACATACTGTAGGTGAATAAAGTGCAAAACATCTTGTGATCAATGCCGAATAAGCACAATTAAGTTTTGGAGACAGGAATAATTTCCTACCATGTGACATAAAGAGGCTTGGTTGTTTGAGCTGTACTTTAAAGAATGGGTAGAGAACTCATAAGCAAAGGAGACCATCCAAGTGGAGGAATCGTCACCAGAAAGGGGCATAAAAGGCATAGAGCCTATCTAGTGACTCTCTCAAAGCTAGAGTACAAAATAGGAGCATTTGCAATCTCATAACTATAGCAATGGAACACTCTGGGAAGGAACACCCTAACAACAAAATTTCAGCACTGTTATTTGTGTCAGTCTGAGTGACATGACAGCAGACCACTTACAAACCTGCAAAGAACTATAATCAGGTTCCTACTCCCAAAAAGTGTCCATGGAGAGAAACAAATCTAAACTCTAAAACGCAGATAAGTTGAGCTAATAACACCAGTGATAGTATGCCTAGCTATTAAAACACATACACTGACACTCACACACAGAGCTGGCAAGAGTCCAGTTGCGTAGAAATACAGTGGAAAATGTCAGTGTTTGCCAACTTTAAGAGGGGAACTAAATGTGCAAAATGGAAAATTTCCAGTTTACCTTCCTGAGTAAGTAGTACAAATAGTGGAATGCAGCAAATTTCACATTATGCTATCAGTATGTGATACACTAATAAGACTTTAGTTAATCTTTCTACTAGCTTGCCACAATTATAGTCAGCCCAGACTCTCTGGCTCATACATCTGTGATGTGATTTTTTTAAATTCTCATTTACACCTATCACGTACACAGCATCATGCCTCTTTTCCCTTCTAAGGTCAAAACTATAAATCAGAGTCTAAAATGTATCACACCAAATGCAACTGACCATAACATGAAATATTTTACTCCACCCAGTATCTCTCAATCTTGTCTGATTGGTAAAATGTTTCTTTCTGCTTTATACAAACCCAGTTGAGAAGCTTCTCAAATTCTACAAAAGCTAATGGGATATTTCTTGACATATTACTAAGGTGTATCTACAAAGAGCTTACCAAAAAAAAATCCAAAGATATAGACAATATTCCACAAGAAGCCAGTTAGTCTTTTACCACTTAGCATCCATACCAGCCACTTGCATAAGTATATGGTGTTGTAAAATTAATTATCTAATCAAGATGCTATCTTACTTATAACTGCCTTCTATAAGTACCTTCTAATGGCTGTAACTTACATTCATTCCTTCATAAGCCTTCCATGGCCTAGCAATAGTGCTGGGGACTAGTAAGTAATGAATGCTAATCTAATGAATTACTTATTTAATGAGGGAGGAAAACAGTGGTTTCCTCATTTCAGAGATGGTGAAAAGCACTTACAACTCATCTTTGTGTATGTGTGCAATCATTTCAATGTTCCAAAAGAGTCTAAACATCTGTCCTTTTCTTTCTGTACCCCCAGGCTCTTTATTATAAACTGAAGATTTAAATATTACCTCCTATTTCTTGAGGAAGAAAATCAGAAGTCTCTATGCAATGCTTAGAGTTAGGAGGCTAGTCTTCCCCTTTCCCCCACCATGGCCTTGCCCTATCTGATGCCCACTACCCCTTCACACCACACCAAACAAGTGGCTGACAGTACACTCTGAATTCTACCCAAAAAAGAAAAATATGTACCAAATGATGGAGAGAAGAAGGAATGAAAGAAAAGGAAATAGAGAAAGAGAGTACAGAGAAGGTGAATTCTTAAAAGACAAGTAGAAATGAAGACAGCAGGACAGCATTAGAACACCATCAGAATAATTGAGAGCAACAGATTAATCTGGGATTAAGCTCTGGGGAAAAAAATGTGATTTGGTAGCTTTTCAGATTGCTCCCTAACCTCAAGTCTTAAATACACATGCAAAAGGCTTTGAAGAAATTTGGAAATTTTCTACAAATCCTAGTGATGGATTTGTAGATGTTAACGCACTCAAGCAGTTCTCACATATATATGCACTTCCGTTCTCACTTCCCTGTAGAGCAGGGAAGAGTGTGATTTTATTGTCCTTTGGACAAATGACCTATTGCCCTCAAAGCAGACCTACCCTGAGTAAGAGTGTTGACTTCCTTCAGGCTGGTGACATTGCCCCAAATTCATTATCCTCATTTCCTCATTTCTTCACTTAATTCACACAACATTCCAGTGAGGTAAGATCTAACACAACTTCCATTTCACAGGTAAGAAAACAAAGGCAAAGAGAGGTGGAATACCTTCCCAGTGTTACCCAGCTCTTATGGAAATAGT